ACATGGAATTTTGACACATAGTATGAAAAAAGTATACAATGTATTAATAATTTTATATTGATTTTACATTGAAAAGATATTTCGGATATATTGATTTAAATAAAGTTATTTTCTGTTTCTACCTTCTTAATGTGGCTACATTAAAATTACACATGTGGCTTGTATTTATGGCTCATAATTATCTTTTTTGAGACAGTGTGGCTGTGTCGCCAAGGCAGGAATGTATGTGGTACGATCTCGGCTCATTGCAACCTCCGCCTCCCAGGTTCAAGCAACTCTCCTGCCTCCTGAGTAGCTGGGATTACAGACATGAGCCACCATGCCTGGATTATTTTTGTATATTTAGTAGAGACAGGGTTTCACCATGTTGGTCAGGCTGGTCTTGAACTCCTGACCTCAGGTGATGCACCCACCTCTGCCTCCCAAAGTGCTGGGATTACAGGCATAAACTACCACACCCGGCTGGCTCATGATATATTTTATTAGACAACAATCTTTCAAAATCCTTACCCAGTAAATTTAATCAATGAGGCAAAAGACTTGTACATGGAAAACTACAAAATGCTGCTGAGAAATTAAGGAAGACATATAAATAAGTGAAAACACATGCCATGTTCATGGATTGGAAGACTTAATATCATTAAGATGAAAATACTAATTAAAGTTATATACAGATTTACTGCAATCCCTATCAAAATCTCAATAGCACTTTTGGCAGAACTAAAAAATTCCTAAAACTGGTATAGAATCTCAGTAATCCCTAAATCGCCAAAACAATCTGGGGGGGGGGGGGGCGGGGAACGCAAAGTTGGAAGTCTCAAACTTCTGATTTCAAAACTTTTTACAAAGCTTCAATAATCCAAACAACGTGGTACTGGCATAAAGACAGACATATAGACCAATGGAGTGAAATAGCCAAAAAAAAAAAAAAAAAAAAAGAAAGAAAAGAAAAGGAAAAGAAAAAGAAAAAAAAAATCTCTTATCTATGGGGTCAACTGGTCTTCAACAGGGGTGCCAAGACCATTCAATGGGGGAAAGGACAGTCTCTTCAACAGATGGTGTGAGGAAGACTGCATATCTACATGCAAAAGAATGAAACTGGGCATTTACCTTACACAATACACAAAAATTAACGCAAAATATAGCAAAGACCTAAAATGTAAGTTTTATAGCTAAAACTATAAAGCTTTTAAAATATAGAGGAAATGCTTCATAACATTGGATTTGGCAATAATTTCTTGGATATAACACCAAAAGCACAAGCACAGACAATAAAAGTAAAAACAGATAAACTGGACTACATCAAAATTTAAAAACTTCAGTGCATCAAAGAACACAATCAACAGAGTGAAAAGGGAAACCTACAGAATGGAAGAAAATATTTGCAAGTCATATCTGATAGGTTAATATTCAGAATCTGTAAAGAACTCCTACAACTACAACAAAAACCTTATTTAAAAGTAGGCACAGGACTTGAATAGACTTCTCCAAAGAAGATATACAAATGACCCACAAGCACATGAAAAGATTCTCAACATCACTAAGTATTCGGGAAAGGCAATCAGAACTACAATGAGATATCACTGCATACTGATTAGGATGGCTATTATCTAAAAAACAGAAAAAGTATCAGAGAAGATTTGGAGAAACTGGAACCCTTGGGCACTGTTGGTGGAAATGTGAAATGGTGCAGCCACTATGGAAAACAGTATGACAGTTCCTTAAAAAATTAAAATAGAATTACCATAAGCAATACCACTGTGATACACATATATATCCAAAATAATTGAAAGCAGGGTTCTGAAGAGATCTTTATACACCCATGTTCATAGCAACATTATTTCCAGTAGCCAAAAGGTGGCGCAATCCAAATGTCCACAGATGGATGAATGGATAAATAAACAAAACTCATATCCATACAACAGGATATTATTCAGTCTTAAAAAGGAAGGGAATTCTAACACATACAACCTGGATAAGGTTTGAAAATATTCTGCTAAGTGAAATAAGCCAGTCACAGAAAGACAAGTTCTCTATTATTTCACTTATATGATGTATCTAAAGTAGTCAAACTAATTGAAACAAAGTAGCACAGTGGTTATCAGGGTCTGGATGGAGGTTAAAAGGGGAGTTTAAGGAACATAAAGTTTCAGTTTTGCAAGATGATAAAGTTCTGGAGATCAGTTGCACAATAATGTGCATATAACACTACTGAACTGTACACTTAAAAGTGGTTACAATGGTAAATGTTGTTACATCTACTTCATGTTACATGTATTTTACCACAATTAACTATTTTTTAAAAATCTGGCCCAGTGTGGTAGCTCATGCCTGTAATCCCAGCACTTTGGGAGGCTGAGGAGGGCGGATTGCCTGAGGTCAGGAGTTCGAGACCAGTCTGGCCAACATGTTGAAACCCTGTCTCTACTAAAAATACAAAAGAATTAGCCAGGCTTGGTGGCGTGCGCCTGTAATGCCAGCTACTTGGGAGGCTGAGGCAGAGGAACTGCTTAAACCAGGGAGGTGGCGGTTGCAGTGAGCCAAGATCGCACCACTGCACTCCAGCCTGGGTGACAGAGTGAGACTCCACCTTCTCCCCCTCCAAAAAGTCCTTCCCCAGGTATCACTCCCCCTCCTTTCTGCTCCTGCATAAATTAACAACTCCCTCCTTTGCACCTCCACATTATCTTGGGTATAGCACTATTATGGCTCTTATCACATTTTTGGTAATTACGTATTTGACAGGATAAAGGTTACTGTCCCATTTGTGCCCATCCTGGGACAGGTATACACTCATCCACTCCTGGTATCTTGACCAGAAGCTAAGAAAATATACAAGGGTCTTTGGCAAGGCAGAGAAAAGAGTCAGTGACCCTGATGGCATAATAGGCTAAAGGGGACCATTATTATCAGCAAGAGTATATCTCGTATCTTGTAGATGTTTCACTCTGAGGCTGGACCTGGAGGAACCATTTTTCTCCAACAATCCTTTTATAGGTGGGATCTGAAAAACCTAAAGAACACTTCTTTCCTCCCTCGACGCACAAAAACATCTCCATTATAAGGACAGCCAGGTGAAATGACTGCCCATACAGAGTCTGACCCACTGGAGGTAAGAGAGGAAGATGGTCATTCAAGATAGATTCCAGATAGAGCAGCTGACCTAATAAACAAGGTTCTTGGGGCTTGGGGGGCGGGGTTGGGAAATAAGGAACTATTTTGCTGCTTCCCGTGGACTCCTTGTATGTAAGTTTGATGCCTAATTAAAAAAAAATTTTTTTTTGATAACGGACAGTAACTTTCTGCCCTTCCAAGTTCATAGTGAAGCGGTTACATTTGTTTGATCCATCTTTGCACCTTGATCCTTTCGGGGCGGAATCATACCTTATTCATCCTTGGATCCCCTGTGCCCACCAGTCCTGGCACAGAGCAGGTGCCCAATAAATGCCAAATAAATGACTGAATAGTTAGAATGAGGGTTTTTGTAGCACTGAGTCTTTCCAATAACCCAGAGAGAGGCTTTTGGCCAAGCAACTCGTCTAGCCCAGAGAGAAAGGACAGTCTGAACTAGAGAGCCACTGGAGTATGAGGGTCTGGTGGGTACCGGGAGCAGAGGGAACATGAGAAGAAAAAGGTTTATTACATAACCCAGGCTGATGAAACTGGCACCCTCCAGCTTCATGTTTTATTGTCTCACTGGTCATTACATAGTGCCGACATTTATCTGGTCTCCAGGCAAATTTTATAATTTCAGTTCCATCTGAAGCAACACAATAATACTGACTCAGTCGCCTGGATTCCACAAGCCACACACGTTGCTTCAGCTTAAATGGGGCCTTGTTTTATCTGGCTGCTGGGATTGGCTCGGGTCTGCTAACAATTAGATGCTTATGCATGGCTCTTTCGTGCAGTCAATCTTTAAAGATTTTTTTCCCTCTCTTGAAATCTTGGAAATGATTCCTAACAACGGTTAATCTAAAAATCAGCTGCTTTTGGTCAACATAAGGCGCCTCTTCGAACTCACATTCATGGAATTTGCAAGCTGGAAGGAAGAGTGGAAACTAGTTCTGCTTCCCAGGTAAGGAAATCTGTGCCCAGAAACTTGAGCTGGGTTCCAGCCAATTAAAACTAGAAGTCAGAGCTGCCCGTCCCGAGCCTTCTTCCCCTGCTGCCTGCCCGCAGGTGCCGTCACACCTGCTTCAGACACTTCCAGCTCACCCCTCCCTCCATTTCCTGTGCAACTTGGGCCCTCTCTGGAGAGCTCTTAAACCATCAGCTTTAGGAGAGGAGAAATGAGCAGACACAAATCTTTCATAGGTTAATTTTCCTTGGAACGTTATGGGTGATTTTTTGTAAAGCCGATTCTCAGTGGTGTTGACTTCAAGGTGGTGTTCCTCGCCGAGGGCTAAGGAGACTGTGCGGAAGTGCGCTGGTTAGCGGGAAGGGACAGACCCAGGGTGGGCGGCGGATGGGCCGAGCGGGTGGGCAGGGCACCGATGGCAGAGAACTGGCCTAAACCACCTGTGCATCACCTAACAAGCACAGACTGAGCACCTACTGTGTGCCTGGGTCAGCCACAGCTGCCTACTTAAGAACCAGCCGCTGCCCTCCGACCCTCCCCTGGCCGGAGGAGCCTTACTAACTGGCAGACTCAGGTACTTCTGATTCTCGTCGTGGGTCTGGCCTTAACTAGTGTTGAGACTCCAAGCAAATATTTAAAATTCTCCAACCCAGGTGGCCTGAGGCTTGAGAAGAAATAAAAGGCTTCTCAAAGGGATGATAGTTTGGGGAAGGTGCTTTTTTTGGGACTGGAGAAATGCCAGAAAAGGCATTTTGGGGGTCACACACACATGAGAGCGGAAGCGCTGTGAGCCTCTCTGCAGGCTCCCTGCCCCGGGAGCCACCTCCTATCTGCCCCGGGGCGGAGGCGGCCAACTCCTGCCCAGCCCAGCGGGCTCCCCCGACTCGTTTCGGGGAGAGCAGCCGCGGAGGCCGGGGGCGCCTTTCTCTTTAAGAGCCTTACGGGCGCTCCTGATTGGCTGTAGCTATGCAGGGCTTTCGTCCTCGCTCCCTCGGAGCGCTCCCTCCCGCGTCGCCGGCCCCGCTCAGTTTCCACGGCCCCCTCCCCGGCCGCGCGCCCCTCCCGCCCCGCGCGCGCCTCCTCTTCCTCGCCGCCGAGTTCACCCCGGGCCGCGGTATGGGGGATACGCCAGCAACAGATGCCGGCCGTCGAGATCTGCATCCCTAGGCCACGCTGAGCCCCTGGGGAAGAGCGCAGGAGCCCGGGAGAAGGGCTGGAAGGAGGGGACGGGACGTGCGGAGAATTCCCCCGGAAAAGGCAGAAGCCCCCGCCCCCATCCGCGAGCTCCGCGCCGGCCGAGCGCCTGCCTGCTTGCTGCTGCCACGGGCGCCCACCTCGCCCAGCCATGTCAGGTCCGGCCGCCGACGCGGGGAAGGTCCCCTTCTGCGACGCCAAGGAGGAAATCCGTCCGGGGCTCGAAAGCTCGGAGGGGGGCGGCTGCCCAGAGAGGCCCGGCGCGCGCGGGCAGCGGCAGAACATCGTCTGGAGGAACGTCGTCCTGATGAGCCTGCTCCATTTGGGGGCCGTGTACTCCCTGGTGCTCATCCCCAAAGCCAAGCCGCTCACTCTGCTCTGGGGTAAGTCCCGCCGGCGCCCCCTGCGCCCCAGGCTCCATGGCCAGGCGCGCTGGGCGCGCGAGGTCGCCGCTGGCCGCTCCGTTGCAGGCGGTGCGGAGCGACCCCCGTTCTCCCCTCGTCTCCCGCCGCGCGCCCCGGCCCCCTCGGCATCCAGTTCTCCGCCCCTTGGGACTGGCAGGTGTTTCTGTCCCGGTATTTTCAACTTCCGCACCCCCTACCCCGCGGCGATCTGCCTGAGGAAGCGCATTTGCGGGCTTCGCGTTGGGGAGCCGGGGGAGCCGGGGGAGCCGGGGGACCCGGAGTCCTGCGGCGCCACCGCTGTGCGCAGAGGCGCGCGAAGGGAGAGGCTCTGCCCGGGCTGAATCGGCTCTCAGCGAGGGAGGACGGGCGGGTGGTTGTGTCACCCGTGCGGTCCCTGGGGCTCTCCTATCCCCCCCCATCACCTCCGGGCCGTGGACCTTGGGGCAGACGTGAGGACAAGAAAGGGAGTTGGACTGGGGAGGAGAGACCCGGCACAGAGTAGAGTCTTGGTTTACGAGCACCAGATGGAAGATACCGGTTCGCCTCTTGCCTCTCCAAGGCCCCTGTCCCTGCCCACCCCGCAGTCTTCTGTGCCCATTTGCAGTTCTTCGCCCTCGGAAGTTTCTCGGTGAGCAAACCGAGCCCATGGCGAGAGCGGTTTGACTCTAGCACGAAGCTCCGATTATGGCAGTGCAGAGCCTTCTCCAAATCCTGTTCCCAACTGGCCAGTGCGGGTCTGTCCCGCACCTGTGGCTCTCCTGCCACCCTCCTTCCGTGCACCCCTCACTCCTGCCAGCAGGGAAGGGAACCCAGGCGCCGACCACCATTTCCCTTCCCCTGGGCCCCCAAGGGCTCAGTGCCCGCCCTACACGACCCCAGTCGTTGATCTTTGAACCGCTTCGCCGTCGCCTGGCCGCAATAACTGGTTTTGGCCTCTTTTACTGAAGCGGCAGTAGCCAGGACAAAAGGCGTAGGTATTGATGTGCTGAGTGAGAATTTGACTAGGTAATCCAAGATGCACTTCCAGCTCCCGTTTCCCTGATCTCTAAGGGCGGGCAGAAGAAATACAACCTACTTTTATTTCCAGAGGGGAAGAGGAAGGAAGCAAATAAGACCTCTTTCTACAAAAGCTTTTTTGGCATAGTGCCAGCTGCAAATGCCTAGGAAGATAATGGGGCCACTGGTTCTAAGCCTTCCTTTGAAATCCTGCAGTCCTGCTCTTGGAAGGAAACCTGTCCAGAAGTGGGTACCTCTTAGGGGGTGTGGCTCAGGGAGGGCACAGCAGAGCTGAGGGATGGTGAGAGAGGTAGGGTCTTTGGGGATCCCCAAAGCCCTTAAAATCTCCCCACAGTTCTGGGAAATGCCCTGCCTCATCTTTGCTTCTCTCAGTACACCTCCTCGTTTCTGTGCCCTTTTCACCATCACCTTTATGTGCTGGTTTAATTGCCCTCCGTCTCCCCTTATCTCCAGCTGACTAGACTGATGTTCTGCTGTTGCTTCATGAACACACTCCCACGCTGCCAACCAAAGCCCTTATTGCCCAGAGTCTCCAACAAGCTCCTTCCTCCCTCAGCTTCCAGGGCCAGGGCTGGGCTTGGTCCTCAAAGCCTGGGAGGACTCTGGGATTGAGGCTTATCTTTAATAGCTGTGGTGTTCAGAGAGTGCTCAGGGAAAAGTGAGCACTTAAAATATTATCTTACATGCCTGGGGCTCACAGGCTCCACTCCTTACAGCCTCTGAGCCCCAAGACCCTGGCATTAGACCAGGAGCCACAAGGACAAGGCCCTCCTCTCCAGGTTTGCCAGGTCACCTTTGCCCTTTCCAGACCGCTCTCTGTGGTGAAGATAGAATCTCTGTTCTGAAAGACCTTGGCTTAGAGGACACCACCCCAGACCCCAGTCTCCTTTAGCTTCCCTAGAGAAGTTAACACACTGCAGGAATCTGGTTTCCCCTTTGTGTCCCAAACCCCATCCCATACCTCCCTGGATAAATTCTGCCTACCTTTATTGCCTCCATTAAAAATACTACTACTACTAATAATAATAATAATAGCAGAGAGTGGTGGATATTGTAGTTTTCAGGTCCAAAATTGTGACTTAGAAACATTCCAAACAGTGGGTCTTATCTGATGAATAGCTGCTGGTTTTTTTTTTTTTTTTTTTTTTCTTTTGTGAGAGAGGGTCTTGCTGGAGTGTAGTGTGGCACGATCATAGCACACTGCAGTCTCAGTCTCCCGGGCTCAAGCAATGTTTCCACGGCAGCCTCCAAAGTAGCTGGGGCCACAGGTGTGCACCACCAAGCCTGGCTATTTTCTTTTTCATTTTTTGTAGAGATGGGGTCACACCATGTTGCCCAGGCTGGTCTTGAACTCCTAGGTTCAAGCAGTCTTCCCAAAATACTACTGGAATTACAGGCATGAGCCTTGGTACTCAGCCTGATGAATAGCTTTTGAGGGAAGAAATGAGGGACAATCAGAGACCAGTTAAGATCAGCTCTGCTGATGGTTAGGCTATATAGAGAAAGCAGAGGGACTAGAGAGACCACTGACTCAGGATTACTTTCAGTGAAAGCCCTGGTGCCATGACCCACAAATTTTCCCCCACTGAAGGCCCTTTTCCACCACCTCCCTACTGGTTCTGTGTAGCATTAGGGCCAAGGTCGTGCCCCCGTGGGCTGCTCGTCCACTTCAAGGGCCTGACTTATAGAGGAAATGGGCTTGGCCTGTCTATTGCTTGAGATGAGGTTGTGCTGGAAACGAGAGGCAACTAGCAGTGCACCCAGCAGGGGAAGGGTTGGATGTGCAGTGTGCGGGTGGTGAAATGTCATCCGTGAAAGAGCCATCAAGTTGTTAGTTCATCAAGTTGTTAATTCTCCTTGGGGCCAGAGCATGTTATTTTTCCTTCTTATCCTTTTCGATTTCAGAGTGGACCAGCTGTCAGAACAGAATGCTCTTGGTGCCCCCAGGTCCTCAGCAATGAGTCCATGACTTTCAAGGACAGAAAACGAACTCCAGCTAGAGGAAAAACCTGCATCTGAAGGCTTGAGCTCACAAAAGTGCTTGCTTGAGAGTTTCTGGCCAAAATAGTCAATGCCCTGAATCCCAAGATGGGTAGAGCAGGGAGTGAGGCCCTGCAGTCATGGTATGGAGCTAGGAGTCCTGGGGCTGCTTCCCAGCCGAGCTTCCCCTGATGGCCTCCAGACATCTGACTGTTGGCTCTCAGAAACATCAGGGCCTTTTCTGGTTTTTCCATAAATGTCATCTGAGTCCCCGAAATGTGTCCCATGGTGACATCGTGACTCTTTTCCTCTTGAGATGACTTCAGTGACAGCACCAGGCATGCAAAGCAGTAATTTTTCCTGTTTCCTTTGATAGGTCAGCCATCCTTCTATCCTGCCTTGGGGCAAACGTGACCATTGTTAAGGCAGATTCAGGGTTCTCTGGTGCCCTGCTGGGTGCTTGGAGCATCTGCACTATCCTGAGTGGGATTCAACATATGGCAAGGAAGCTAAGTGCTGGAGATTAACAAGGCAGCGTGGGGCTAAGGGTGGTCAGTAGAAGCTGGGGCTTGGAAGTCACTGGTCCACCAGTCACATTCTGAAATTCGCCCAAAGCTGAGCTGTCTTCTGGGCGTTGGGTAACCTGTATCTGGTCCTGATGTCTTCGCTGGATTGTGCTGCTTTTCCATCAAGTCCCTCAGGTTGTTGAGGAGGCTCAAGAATGCATGGCTCAAGCTTCTGTCTTGCCTCAAGGTTTTCTAAAGTAAGCAGGTCTCAGTAGAGAGGCAAATCTGAATGTGAATCCCTGCTCTTCTACTTTCTCACCAGCTGAATGGTTTTGCACAAATTTTCATCTCAGAACCAGTTTTCTCACCTTTAAGATGGGCATGTTAATACTGTGTGCTCATGAAGTTGTGAGAATCAAATTAGATGCTATGTGTAAATCACCGAGCACAGTGCCTGGCCCTTGGTTGGTGTTAATTATTCACTGTTATTACTGTTGGTCCTAATACTGGCCCTTTTTCTTTAGCAGAAGGAAAAAAAACCTCTTCCGGCAGCACAATAAATTTCACAAAGCTGGCACAGAACTTGGCTTCACTGCCTCTCTTGCATAGAAAAGATAGATTTGGCTTTGGAAATAAGGGCTCTTTCTCAAGGTTCCCAAAGAGAGATGAACACAAATCCCTTCTGTACTTCCTCCTTCGTGCCCTTCTCTTTCATTCCATCTTCCTCCCGTTTTCCTCCAGACCATCACTGTTATGTAGCTGGAATCTTTTTGTTCAGCTGACAACTCACCTGGTCGTTAGCGTTTTCCTTGGGATTTTTGAGCACAGCCAGTTACAATTGCTACAGAATTTCTCTGAATCTCTTAGAGTCTCAGTTTTGACTTGTTTTTCTCCCCACCTCTTCCTTTGACTCATCATTTAAAAAAAATCTTTAATGCTCAATTAAACATCTGAAAGTCTAAGAAAAGTGAATGATTCTTCCTTTCAAAGCCTGGAATTCCAATCCCATTGTTGTTACAACTCTTGCATTTTTAATAAATGGGCAAGCCTTACCCAAGCCTGGATTGCAGCTAGACCAGAGAGAATAGAGTGTGGTTTTACTGGCTTAAGTCCCAGCAAGTATTAACTATAGATTGAGGTTAACATTATTCACTGAATTTTAAAACAAATAAACTGATCAAGGTCACTGCAGACTGCACTGTGGCCTTGAAATGAGAAAGAGAGCTGCAGAGTGGAAACCAGTGCCGGAATCCCAGCATTGCTAATTAGTTCAACCACAGGCTCATTTCTTTACAATTTGTGAGTCTCAGTTTCCTCATCTGTAAAATGGATACAATAATAGTGAGCTGAAAGTTATTTGAGAATTGGGGCGTATGTATTTTCTTTTGAGACAAGGTCTTGCTCTGTTGGCTTAGGTTGGAGTACAGCGGTGCCATCATGGCTCACTGCAGCCTCAACCTCCTGGGTTCAAGTGAT